AAAGTAAAGTTGTTTTGGTTCAATTGTCATATTTTGTATCCTTTTGAGTGTTTTAGTGAGTTTCTTTTATATAGGAAGTAACTGTTTTTGTGATAAAAAATTTGGGTCCCTACCCAAATTTTTGCTCGCATCAAATCTTCGAGCCATAATTGAACAATCTTTGAATCATTTCAAATAATCTTTGAACGATGATTGTACCATGATCAAATCATCTTGGATCATGGTTCTAACCAAACTTCTATCATATATTGACACATACTCAAACCTTGTTGTAAAACAATTTAAGCATTGTTCAAACCAATGTTGATTGTGGTGGACTTCAAATTAGTAGTTTATGGCCAAAAGTGGGAGTATTTGTGTCCGAAGGAATTTAGTGGACATATATCTCTAAGAAAATAATTTGCAAGCATATCTTTTCAATTTCCACCATTATGAAGAATGTAAAGTCAAGTTTCCCCTTATTTATTGCTCATTTGTGGGTCACATATGTCAAGAGAGTTTCTAGTTTTAGCTCTTTTAAAGAGAATGTTTACTGGTCTGTAACTTTGTCACTTTCTAATTTTGTTGTTGTCAGGGTTTCATTTCACAGTTGATTGTTTCTATGGCACGTGCGGTGCATGCTTGCATTTTTTGCTTGGTTGGGCACTAAGGGATGTGCATCTCTTAATATACTTGCCTCTCATACTCTTGTGCTACAGCTGTGTGGTACTAAGCAACGTGGTTGAAGTCCTTAGAACCATGAAATTTTATTTCATTTTGTGATTCAGTTTTGCATTTGCTTTCTGAAGTCATGTCTCCAATTGATCATTTGCCTCGGCTGGCTAATTTAGTTCCTCTGTCAGTTTGAAAATTGTGTTTTCATGCAATAGTTTGTAACTTATTTACATTGTTTCAGGTATCTCTTACACAAGCGAGAATTGACATGAGCGAGCTTGATGAAGATTCTGATGGATTCCTTCAGCCTCATGTACGTTTTCTTTTGCCGACTTGGCTCTAAAGTGTGGCTTGTTGGAGTTAATTCTAATTGGATGTTTTATTTAAATTTCCCGGTAATCAATGATTTATTACGGATGATGAAATTCTTGTCATGTCTGGTTGTTTGCAGGAGATGGAAGCCTATATAAGAGGTCTCATACCAAACCTCGCACAACTGAGGGATATGCCTGCAGCCTTTGTCCAAATGTACTGCCGAATAGCTGCGCAGAAGTTCTTTTTCTTCTGTGATCCTCACAGGCGAGGTCTGCTATTCAACTTGTTTTTATTTTCACAGATATATATTCCAATTTGCAGGCTATAGTAGAAGAAACATTTATCTTTAGCAGCTGTTCTAGTTTCTTTCATATGAGTTTTATTTGCCTATTATTTCACCCTCTGATAATAGTGTAATCTTCATAAATAGGGAAAGCATGTATAAAGAAAATACTGCTCAGTAACTGCCTTCAGGAACTTATGGAACTGCACCAGGTATCACACTTGAATTTAGATATCTAATTTGCCGCGTTCCCACCTATTTGCTAGAAAGATGCTGTATTTTTTGGTGATTGAGCTCCTCCTCATTTTGGTGCTTAATGAAGCGTACTTGGTATTATTTGTGATCAAATTTAGAATTTTTAAGCTGAAGACGTGCATTTTATTTTACAAACAAAGAAAGGATTTGATTCTGATGTTAACTTGAACGGTCCACCTAATTCAGTTTTATAATGCTGAAGGTTGTGTTCATAAGCTAGATTGGTTTCCCTATTCTTATGAATTGTATACCCATCTATTGCAATTTGTTTATTGGCATGAAATGATACTCTTGTAATGATGCATTTATATACAATAATGTCAATGTCGGTTGCGAAGAAATAATTGCTGCTACTGTAGGGTGAACAATATTTTTTTGATGTTCAAGCATGGACTATATATCTACTTTTCACCATTTATCTACCTTTTACAAGCTTTATAATTGTATTGCATAAGATGAGCAATCTTTTTAGTGCAAATATGTACGTTAACTTTTTTGGAACCTTTTCCTTTTCATACCGTCCATCTTTTCATTTGACTCTATCAGGAAGAGCAATTTTATCTAAAGAAAGGGAATCATAAGATGGGCAAAAAACCCTAACCCAAACAATATTTTCAAAACTCAAGTGCAATGCGATATGCAAGAGTTCATTTTTGCTTCAATGGGCAATGCACAAAGTGAAGTGAAACTTTTGAAATTAGAGTATTCATGAATCGCATATTATTTGTGCTTATGTTATATTAGTACAATATAGCTATTATATTAGTCAAATTTAAATGAGTTTAGGTAATAATTTTCAACAAATATAATAATACATTCAATAATAACAATTTCCAATTATTTGAAATATAAAAAAATAAAGATAGAAATAATGAAGTGATGAAAGAATAGTTAAGAGTCGAGAATAATTGTGTGATTGATGACCACTTGAGATCAAGAGACGAAGGCAATATAAGTATGAAACTTGTGAGCAAAAAGTTACTACTACTAGCAGAAAGAACCAATGAGAAGGATATACGAAAATTAGTATGAGAGATAGCATAATGAGAAGAATCACCAAGAGGTAACTAGCTATAGTGGGAGAGAATGTAGAAACAATGAGTAAAGATTCAATGATTGTGAGAAATAATAAGTGATTCATGCCTACTTATTATTGCAGATGCTAGATTAAATCATGGTATATGAACTAAGATTTCATTTTGAGCTTGAGCCTAGCGCTTAACGATAGGATGCTATACGGTGAAGCAGTGCAATATTTGCACTTCATTGTGAGCTTTTGCTTCACAGACAAGCGATGCTCAGGGCTAGTGCTTTACTTTGTTTCTTTCATAAAGTGCAGTTTGAAGCACTTGTTTAATCACATTGAACCCAAGTATGCAAACTCCGAAGTTCGTGTGAATTAAGCTAGCTAATTAGTAGTAGTAAATGAGATACTTACCTGCAGTATTTTAGATAATATATTGCACGTAGTCTGTCCTACAAAGATTGCAGCTTCGCACCTAATCTTTGTTCTACTAATTCTTTGAATTTACATGTAACTGAAAGCGTTGCAAGAAATTTTGAAGTTGCTTCACCTGAACAAATGGTGACAAGGTACTCAATAACTCAATTGAAATTTGTATTATGGCAAATATATGATACATTCTTGTTTTAAGAGCGGAGCAGGGCTTTCTATTTCAAATCATTTTAGATTTTCTATTTCAAATCATTTTGATATCGACTCAAATTCCACTCCAACACCCTAAAGCATGTTGTGAAGTTAGGAAATCTAGTCTCGAGTTGAAGTGAACTTGGGAAGCTAACCTTTCAATCTTCATTTGGATAAGATCAATATGACTTAGTTGTAAAGTTGTCTTGATTGAGTTAAAAGATCTTTTATGATTTAACCTTGCATAA